AATATATTGAACAGGACTGGACCCAGTACTGACCCCTGAGGGACACCACTTGTTACTGACCTCCAACTAGACTCTGCGCCACTAACCAAAACCCTCTGAGCTCTATCTGGCAGCCAGTTCTCATTCCACCTCACTGTCCATTCATCTAACCCACACTTCCTAAGCTTGCCTGTGAGGATGATGTGGGAGACGGTGTCAAAAGCCTTGCCAAAGTCAAGGTAGACAACATCCACTGCCCTCCCCTCATCCACCCTTCTAGTTACTTCGTCATAGAAGGCTATCAGATTAGTCAGACATGACTTCCCCTTGGTGAATCCATGTTGACTACTTCTGATAAGGAAACACACTGTAGAGAAATGAAGCAATCAAGAACATTGCAAATATCATCTCCAGCCTTCCTGCAATCTGGAGATGAGGCTGACCGGCCTCAGCAATTCTATGATTCTATGATTTCCTGGGCAGTCCTGGCTTGCTACTGCTCAAACCCCTCCTGACTTCTAGCTGAGAGGTCACTTCCCAGTTCTCCCTGTCCGCATTCGTCGAATGGAGAATCAGTATCCCTTAGGTCCTTCCAACACTGAGGGGATCCTGTCTGTGATGCCAATTTAAAATGTCATACCCCACTCATGAGAGAGGGGGGGAAGTGACTCAGATTCGCAAATACCCAGCAGTGTGGACTAAGGTGAGACAACTCTCAAGGCCCATACAAAAAAAAAAATTATTAGATTCCCACAGTGATTAATATATGTCTTAACTAGGTCCACGATAATTGGTTAGGTATATAAGAAATTATGGCAAATGGTAAAACAAAGTACAGCAAGTGGTAAAGTACACCTTGCATTACTTCACAACATATATACAACAGATGTACCATGAATTATGGCGAGTGGTAAGATATGCCTTGTGTTACGTACTTAACTTTAAAAGAATAGGAGAAAAGAAAGAGAAACAGAGGGATAGAGAAAAAGAGAGAGAGAGAGATAAAGAGATCACCGGTCCTGGTTCCAGCGTTGGTCTGGCCAATGGGGGTCTCTGGTTCGTAGAAGTGCTCCTACGTGGATCCCCAGGGAAAAAAGTCTCTCTAGGGGTAGTTATTTTCCCCTTTTACGTTCGTGATACCAGTACGACCCGCCCCGCTGTTACGATGCTCAGGTTTCTCTCCCCCCCAGGTGACGTGTAGCATGATTTGGGTGGAGAGATGAGTCCTATAGTCATGTATGTTTAGCATGATCTCAATAATCTTCATTAGCATATGCAGGGGTGTGAACTTTAATATGTATTTTGCAGATAATGAGGCAAAGGTTAATTCATCGGACACAATGGCCCTGAAAACAAAGAACTATCAAGCTTCACAAGTTGAGCAAAAAGCCCTGTGTTCACAAGACTTCCCCCCCCAGCATCCTGTGCTATCCAGATGAGTTTTCTCTCCTGAGTCACACAAGAGATAAGCAGGTGTTAGCCTTGTCAGTTCTTTGAGCACAAGGCCTACATTATCCTGACTCCACATTATCCACCCCTTGACTACAGCCATATCTCAAGGTACTTGCGAGTGAGACATTCCTCAGTGAGACTCAGAGGGCCTCCCCCTTCGTTCGTCTCCCACCATTTGTTTCAGGGAATTTACGAGTTGCCTCTTACAACTGAACATCCCTTCCCATGGGGTCTGTGTCCAGGGGCACCACACACGGGGTATCCTTTCCCACAGGATCTGGTGCACTGTGCACAGGGCATCACTTCCCACAGGGTTTTGTGCCCAGGGGTACCACACATCCCCTCCCATGGGGTCTGTGCCTGGGGGCACCATGCATGCCGATGGGCTGGGATGTGCTGGCCAGGCTGTACCATCTGCTCAGCAGCCAGCAGCACCTGGGGGAGCATTTACCCAAACTGGGGACAGGGAAAGCCATGCCCCACTGTTGCACCTGCAGCAGGGCTTGCAGCTCTGGCCGTGGAGCAGTGGGAGGGATGGGGTCCCCACAATGCATGGGGGCAGAGGACCCGTGGCGTCCCTTCAGTGCCAGCTCAGCGGGCTGTGGAGGAACGAGCAGGACTCGCTGATGGAGATTTCGGCGGTGAGGGATGACGGGAGCTTCCAGGGGAAATACCTCACGCGGGTCACCTTCGCTGGCGGCTATGCCCGTGCCTCCTCCCTGAAAGGTGCCCAGCAGCAGCCCAGCGAGGGGGCCTGGCCCACCTTTGCCTTCACCATGCTCTGGGACAAGTTCTCCAGTAAGTACTGGGACACCTGGGGCTGGCACCATGGGAACACCAGGAGCCAGGCAGGTGGTCAGCAGGATTTTTCCTCTGCTGGAAATTCTGGTGGGTGATGCTTTGGTGCAGCTAAGCAGAGGGAGGCAGCGGTACCTGGCCAGCATGGGGCTAACAGGCAATGCTGGGCTCACATGGGGCAACCCCTCCTCACCCAGCATCTTTGCACCCATCCCTGCTGGGCAGCCCAAGGTGCCTGTGGTGGGTCTGGATCCCGTTAGGGCATGGGGATGTGGTGTTGCAGAGCCTGCCTCGCCCAAGGGAGCTGCCGGGGAAGGGCAAGCACAGGCTGGGTGGGCATGTGGCCATCGGAGTGGTATCATGGCTGCAGTGGGGAGAACCCCGGGGAAGGGTGGGAAGCAGCACAGGTGCTGTCCCACTCCAACCCCTCACCAAGTGCTTCTCCCAGATGCCAGCACAGCCTTCACGGGTCAGTGCTTCATGGACGCAGGCAGAAAGGAGACGCTGAGCACCACATGGCTGCTACGCAAAGCTGTTGGGTTCCTCAAGAAGGACTGGAAAGCCACGAGGTAGCAGGGGGATGCGGTGGGTAGCAGCCCCACAGAGGGGGGGCCTCCCCAGGATCCCCGAGGATGAGCATCCCCCTGGGCGAAGGGACTAGCCCTGGTAACCCCCCCAGCGTGGATTTGCAGCAGGGATGCCAATGCCTCCTGGCAAGGGGCTTGCCCTGGACAGGGGCATCTGGCAACTGCTCGGGGGCATTTAGGGCCACGCCGAGTGGGTCACGTCTGCAGGTCATCCCATGGGAACTCTCTGCTTCCCCACAGGGTGGGCAGCAATGTCTTCACATGCAAACGCACCCCAAAAGGAAAGATCCTGCCAAGCTTGTCCACATCCTGCGAGGATGCAGTTTCACCCACTCTATGATGGCGCACTTTGGCTGCAACCTGGCCCCCTAAGGCAAGCAAAATCAGCTTCTCACATAAAAAAAAAAAAAATTTAAAATCATGTCAGCTGTGGTTGTGTTTTTTAAAATACTGCCCTCGCTCCCCCTCTGAGGCAGCTTCTGTCCCCACAGGTCCCCCTGCAGAGAGGAGGGCTCATTGCTATCTGATGGCTACAACTGCCCTTCCCTGGGGACATCTGTATCCCCCCCTATTACCCTCATCCAGCTCCCTGGGTTCATTTCCCATTTTATCCTAATCTGAACTTCCACCCTGTGCCATCGCTCCACACCTGCCTGCTGGTGGCAGAGGAGACATTGGCATCCCAAATCCAGCCGCCTGCCTTGTGGTGCCTTCATACCCATCCCCACCAGATGCCTTTCCAGCCCCAGGACCCCCTGTAGAGTTGGGTGATGGAGGTAACGGTATCGATAGATGCGAGATGTTGGTAAAGCACTTCCTTTGTGCTGCACAGCACCCTAAGTAAAACATGCACAGTCAAAGCCTGTCCCATCCCATCCCTCTGGGTTACAACCAGGGATTTTAGCCTTCTCTGCTACTGCGTTTCAGCAGTGCTGCTCCATCTGCTTCTGTGGACACCTGCCAAACTTGCGCTTTTGACACAAGGTTTTTGGCAGGTCCATGGGTGAACCCAAAGCCTCTTGCAGAAGTGTTACAAATATAACCCAGCACCAGGGATGCCAGCACACAAGCCATACAGTCCGCCCAGCCTGGCCCAGCCCCAGTGAGGCCAGTACATGCTGCCATGTGTGACGTGGAGCGGTGGCTGCCACCTCCCTGGCACCTCAAACGGGGTGGCTTGTCCCTGCCAAACAGTGCAGAAAGGCAGGGGCTGGTGTCAGGACAAAAGGAAGGAGTGTGGCATCCGGGGTAAGGGCAAGAGAGCCCCCAGGGGGGATTTCTCAGGCCTCTGTGAAAAGCCTGTGAGTTTGGGACTGTGTAAAAGGCAACAAGGAGGAGTGATGTGTTAGGAGAGGGGTGGTTTCTGCTCACCCCAGCCTTCAGGGCCACCCGGATTGGAGGGAGAGGCACTGAGTAGCAGCAGTGGGGCCCCGGGGTGTGCTGGGGCTTGTGGCAGGTGCTGAGTGGCATGGGAAGTGGTGCCTGCCACCCTGGTGTGGGGCTCCACCACCCCCAGTATGCACACCACAGCCCTGGTGCCATCTGGTACCCCAGACACTGCCATCCTGGAGATTGCATGTATTTAGGCACCTGAATCCCACCTTAATTTCTGGTTGCCCACAGCCCCATGCCTGCTCTGGGACACTGCAGGGAGCAGAGCAGCAGCTTGGGTGCACAGGGACAGTGCACACCCTGTTGTGCACATCCGAAGGCCCTAAGAGCAGCGATGCAAACACAAGGAAGGTTAGTGTGTTTAGTAAACACACTTGCTTGGATCCCGGTGTCCCGCTGTGGTTACTTCTTCCTCTAACTCCTGTAAAAGCAAAAGCAGAAAAATTAGCAGCTAATATGCAGAAGATGCTGGGGAAATGTCACTGCTGCTAAAGCAGAAGGCAGGGCAAGCCCTCCCTCCTGCGCAGCACTGCAGCTGCTGCAGCTTGCCTAATGCCCTGGCACCACATGGGTGATGCCCTGGCCAGGCAGTGGCACCAGCAAAGCAGGGAGTGGTTAAATGTTTAAACAGGTAATAATTTCCAACTTGCATGCATAGGAGACGAATTCCCAAAGGCGGCAGATGATGCTTTCCAGGCTGCTATTAGGGCATTAAAAACACCTTGCTGCCCCTGCTTCTCTCCACAGCTGTGCTCATCCCTACATTCCTTGTTGCTGCCTGGGTCACACAGACCTCCTCTCCTCACCTGTCCCAGGTGCCCTGTCACCCAGCCGCCCACCCCATGGCTGCCAGCCCAGTGCCCACTTACAGCCCTATAAAGGGGCCAGGGCGTGGGGCCAGGAGGGAGCTGTGCCAGATGCTCTGCAGCCCCACAGCCATGCGGAGCAGTGCCTTTGCCCTGGTCCTCACCTTGGCAGCGCCCCTGCGGAGAGGAAGGTATGGGGACAGGTGGTGATGGGGATGTGGCTCTGGCACCCTGCTACACCCCAAAGGCTGGAGGTGCAGTGCTCAGCAGGGAACTGGGGCTGGGCTGCTGGAGTTGGTGGGACCAGCACTACACGATGCTGGGGGAAGCTGCAGAAAGGACAGGAGGGTGGCACCACTCATGCAAGGATGCTCCTTGCTGTGGGAATCTGCCCAGAGACAGGCAAACAGAGCCATGTCCCAGAGTGTACAAGGAAAGCAGCACATCCCGCTTTAGCGTGGGGAGGATCCCCTCCTATGGGAGTAGCAAACAGACTGGAGCAGCAGCTGGGCTGAAGGCAATTGGTGCCACGGGTGCAATGCCTGTGCTGAGGTGGCAATGCCAATGGCATGAGCTTCATGCTGCATCCCCCAGTGCTGCCCCGGGGCAGAGCCAGGGTGGTAGGATGGAAACAGGGTGCCCTCCCTGCTTGGCCAGGCACCCTGAGCCACAGCACTGGTCTTGCAGTGTCTCCTCTCCGAGTCCTGGCAGAGCAATGCCAGCTGCCAGTTTGTGTCCATCCTCAGTAAGGACGGCAGCTTCTCTGGTTCCTACCTGCTGGGGCCTGCAGCCGGTGACCCTGAAATCCTCACCTCATCATTGAAGGGGTCCCAGCAGGATGCGGGGCTGGTCTTTGCAGCCTACCTTCTCCTTCACCATGCGCTGGCAGCTCTGAGGTAGGTGGGAGGGGGCCATCGCCCCGCAGCGGGGATGCCAGCGGGACCCAGGGGGGCAGCTTTGTGCCTTGCCGCCCTGGCTCATGCTCCCTTGGACCCTTCCAGACTCAGAGAGAGCCCAGATGACTGCCTTCCTGGGCCAGTGATATGTGGGCACCTGTGGGAGAATTTTTAGAGATCAACGGCCACCCTGTGAGCACCTCAAGCACTGAGGACTTGTTGACAACAGTGTAAGCTTCAAGGAATGTAGAAGGTCGAGTTGTGGTTTGTAAACAGCTGAGTTATGTAGAGGGAGGAAATAACTGTTGCTGAATGTACCGATAAGCAGGACTTCGAGCATAACATAAAAGAAGATAACTGCGCGTGGACAGCTAGGGATAGCCAATCATATAGTAAGGATGCTCACGTGAACTATGCATGTAACCAATTATTGCTTGAGTATTGCGTGGCGCGGAAGAGAACTGTCTATAATAGCTGAGCTATCTGTGCAATAAAGTGGCATTTACCTGATCATATTGGTCGTTGTGTACTTGTCCGTAATTTCCGTGCCGACAGGCACCAACAGGGAAGAGACCCTGCACACCCTGTGGCTCCTGTGAGAGGTGGCCAAGGGCCCTGTCGAGGACTGGAAAGCCACACAGTGAGTGCCAGGTCCCAGCCACTACTGTGCCAAGCTTTCCTGCACCCCAGGCTGGAGAGGGGAGAAATCCCATGGGATGAAGCACAGTGGGACCAGGAGGGTGAAATGGGTTTGTCACTGGTGATGAACAAGGGCTAAGGAGCACGCCTGTGACCTGGCCAGTTCCTGCATCCTGGGTGTGCCCCAGAGCTGGGTGAGCCCAGGATGGGGTCTGGCCCCAGCTGGACTCCCCTGGGACTCCCCTCACACATAGCCTGGGGGAAGAGACCAGAGCATGATGCCAGCATCCAGAGCAGCCTTCACCACAGGGAGCTGGAACCCTGGGCATCCCACTCAGCACCCAGAAAGGACAAGGTGCCTGGCCCCTCAGGTTTCCCCTCTGTACCCGCCACCACAGCATAGGTGACCTCAGCTGAATGAACCACAGTGATTTGGGGTTTCCTGCAGGATTGGCACCAGCGTTTTCACCCAGATAAAATAACAGTGAGTGGGGAAATCCAGGAGGCCCAGGCCAGGCCCGCAAGGAGACAGCGCTCCCCCCAGCCAGGCTCTGCCTGTGCTGACATGCTGCATTTCGGCAACTCAGCCCACGGGTTCATGTTTTCCCAGGCAAGTTCAGCCTAGCGTGAAGGCTGGGGACCAGGTGCAAAATAAAGGGTGTGTGAGCCGACACAGGAACAACCACAAAACCACAGATGAAACGCAGATTAAATTTAATCTCGATACCTTGCGAACCAGGGGATCTCCAAATCATCACCTGGGCAGAGGCATGGAAGCAGGATGTCCTGGTTTGAGGTAAAACAGGACCAGTTTTGTTCAGTAACTTTGCTTCTTAGCTGGGCTTCTAACTACTGAAATTAACAGCATATTGTGTAGACAATGTTTGCTCTCTCAAAGTGATAAGACCTATGTTTATAGTTGATGCCCAGGCATGGTATGCAGAGAGGCTCTTGCTTATACTTATTGCTATAACACCCAAGGCCAACCAACTTTGTTATTTGCCCCGTTGGAGGGTCGGAAGCAGAAAAGCGCAGTGGGGTCACACTTGCAGGGAGGAGTGGACAGGACAGATGACCCAAAACTGGCCAATGGGGTATTCCATCCCATCTGCCTCATGCTCAGTAGAAAATCTGAGGGATCAAAGGGTCAGGTCTCTCTCTCTTTCTTCAATGGCTGGCATCTGAGGAGGATTGTCTGTTCATCTGCCTTTGATCCTGATCTATGGGAGACCTTGGCTGGTCCAAGGGATCAGAATACAAGTTTAACATTGACCCTGAACAAATACCCTTGAAGAGACTGAAGAATCCTGAGAAGATCCGAGAAAACAAGATAAGGGGCGGCAAACATCCTGGTTTTTCCCAGAGCATGAACAGCACGTGATCAACAATTGTATTGGCTGGATGGCGTGTGATGTGAGAGCGGATTGGGCAAAAGTAGAATGTTAGAATATATGCACAGATAAGCAACCAGGTAAAAGGATATAAAAGAGCACTGCTTGTAAAATAAAATGTACGATTCCTGCAACTTGATATTCAGTGTCATGTCTGTCTCTACAGAGACACTGATCCTGAATCCAAATATGGAATCCAGTTCCCGTCCGTCACGG